TGGCATTGGTGTCCCTTCGTGAAGGGTCGTGTCTGGCTAGATGGTTGGCCTGTAACCATCACGTTTTTGCCTATATATATGACTGCCCATGGCATGTGTTGGCCAAGCGAGACAAGGGCTAAAAACAGAGTTGTTTGGCTGTTCCTTTGTATTATACGAGTCTAATACAAAGTTGGTTGTTTACCGTAAATTTGTGTTCGTTGTGTTCTTGAATATATTCTGTCCCTAAGAAAAGTTAAGGCTGACTATTTTGTGAGACAAAATAGGCCGTACGGGTTTGAAAAACATGAGTGAAAAATCAGCCCCGTAACAGTTGGTATCAGAGCCTAGTTGTTCCTGATTCTCGAAGATGGAGACCCCGAAGCGCAATGATCCTGAACAGTCGGATGTACAGGATGATGATAAGGATAATGCTGCTGACTTTATTCGGCATCTAATTGGTGAAGAATTAGTTGGAGTGAATAAAAGGCTTCATAGCCTTGGCAAGGCCATGGAAGCGTGTCAGGCAGAGAACAATTCCCTTAAGACGGAACTGTTGATTTTGAAGCAGGCCGTGTCAGAAACGGCAAGGACAAATATGGATGTCGCTCCTTCAAAGATCAAAGTCCCGGAGCCTAAGCACTTTGATGGGGCCAGGAATGCTAAGGAATTGGAGAATTTCTTGTGGGACATGGAAGAATATTTCAAGGCTGCCAAGATCCCGGAAGGGGAGAAGGTTTTGATTGCCCCGATGTACTTGACGGGGGATGCAAAACTTTGGTGGCGTGGCAGAGTCATTGATGATGCAAACTCTGGCCGGATGGGGATTGAGTCATGGGATGGACTCAAGAAGGAATTGAAGGCACGATTCTTGCCCCACAACGTGTCGTGGATGGCACGTGAGAATCTAAAGAAGTTGAAGCAGACCGGATCCTTGCGGGAATACGTTAAAGAGTTTTCTTCGCTCATGTTAGATATTCAGAATATGAGTGAGGAGGACAAACTCTTTAATTTCATGTCCGGATTAAAAAATTGGGCACAGGCCGAACTGAGAAGGTTAGCAGTGAAGGACTTGCCTACTGCCATGGCCGAGGCGGAAAGTTTGGTGGACTTCAAGACAATGGCGCCCCAAGGAAAGAAAGGGGACCATCCTAAGAAGGAGGGGAAGGCTAAGTTTGAGGGGAAAACCAAGTTTAAGAAGAAGGGTGGCGATGGCAAAGCACCTGCGGAAGGCGGGAATAAGGAAAAAGCACAAGCCGGTGGGTGTTGGACGTGTGGTGGTGATCACCTCCAACGCAACTGTCCCAAAGGTCCGAAGATCAATGCCATGATTGAGGAGGCGACTGGGGTAAGTAATCCTGTTCCGGCTCGGTGTAGTCCTTTGCAGTTGCTGTCTGCCAGGAACGAATCTGCCCAGAATTTTGTGAATCGTGGATTGATGTATGTGTTGGTTGTGGTCAATGGCGTGGAGTTGTTGGCAATGATTGACACGGGTGCTAGTCACAATTTTGTGACTGAACGGTTGATTGGACGGCTTCAACTTAAATTGGAAGGGAATTCATCCATGATCAAGACCGTGAATGCCGCAGCGAAGGAGGTCACTGGGCGGGCATACGTCAAGATCAAAGTTGGGGAATGGCAAGGAGAATGCAGTCTCACGGTGTTGCCCCTTGATGACTTTGATTTGATCTAGGGGAATGAATTCCTAATTATGGCTAAGGCAGCCGTATTCCCTTACCTTGGAGGGATGATGATAAATGATGAGTGTTCGCCTTCATTTGTGAAGGGACGCTATGCTGATCAGAAACAGGAACACAAAGGTTTGGCCTCATGCTCAGCAATGCAACTCAAGAGGGGAGTGCGTTTGGGCTACCAAACCTACCTTGCTGTTATGATGGAAATAAAGGAAGGTGTCTTTCAAGATGTTCCAGACAAAGTGGCGAAACTACTCGAAGAATTCAGTGATGTGATGCCACCAGAATTGTCGAAGAAGTTGCCTCCAAAGCGGGCAGTGGATCACCGGATTGAGTTAGAACCGGGTACGAGGCCACCTGCTCGTGCACCTTACAGTCTCCTGCGGAACTGATGGAGTTGCGAATCCAATTGAAGGAGTTGCTGGACAGTGGGCTAATCCAACCTTCGAAAGCCCCTTATGGTGCGCCGGTGCTATTCCAAAAGAAGCAAGATGGCTCCCTAAGGATGTGTGCGGACTATAGGGTGCTGAACAAGGTCACGATTAAGAACAAGTATCCTATTCCAAATGCACAGGACTTGTTTGACAAACTGTCCAAGGCTCGGTTCTTCACAAAGTTGGATTTGAGGTCGGGCTATTGGCAAGTTCGGATTAGTGCTGGGGATGAGGGAAAGACAACGATTGTAACAAGGTATGGTTCGTTTGAGTTTTTGGTCATGCCATTTGGTTTGACAAACGCTCCGGCTACCTTTTGCAATCTTATGAATGATGTTCTGTATGAGTTTCTGGATCGGTTTGTTGTGGTTTATTTAGATGACATTGTGGTTTACTCTGAGTCATTTGAGGACCACCTTGTGCATCTAAGGAAGGTTTTCCAACAACTCCGGAGTCATGAGTTGTATGTGAAGAAAGAGAAGTGTGAGTTTTGCACTTCAGAGATTTCATTCTTGGGCCATATGATCAGACATGGGGAGATCTTGATGGACAAGAGGAAGATTGAAGCC